CAGGCAATTGGCAGGGCTTGCAGGGTCTGGAGGGCTTGCAGGGTCTATATCTTGACCTGGGTGGTGATTATGCAGAAGTTTGATTAAAAACTTAAAACATACAAATTTGTTTAATATATTTTACTGAAAATAGATTCTGCATTATTTTCCAATGACAATATTTTAAAATTTTAAAGTGAGTTACAAGTCAGAATATAGAATATGACCACTGTCCTTTCCTTTATAAATCCAGGAAACCCAGATCTAAGGACACCACTGGTTTTCCAATGCTCCTTTTCACAAGAGGGTCAACCAGTCTGGACCAAACAACTGAACAAAACAAAGACAGTGTATATAGACATTAAGGATACAATTTCCTCTCTTTGTGAAGACTATCTTTCTTTCTGAGGCTTTATCTGACCTAGATTTGGGATTAGGGTATCATATGATGTCCTTCATGTTAGACAGTGAGAGCAGAAGTAGATGGTAATGTACCCATTTTTTTTTTCTCAATGAAATTGCAGCTTTATTAAACATTCATCAGTTTGAGACAAAAACTTATATAGACATGAACTTCAGTCCACTCATCCATTATTGATTCAAAAGCCATCCTACTCATTAATGACCTTATTGAAAAAGAAAAAGAGAATAGATGAGTCCTCCCTGAATAAGTCACTGAGGACCCAGTGCCTATGAAACTCAGATTTACACACACCAGCAAAGTGGTTGTGTATTTCTCTTCAGAGGAGAGACTGCTTTTGATAAAAATGGGACATGGTTATAAACTGATAGAATTTCAGTGAGAAAAAAATATAGCCACACATGGAATGTGGGATCAGGCACCACAGTCTGTGACATGCTGTATTAAACGTGAAAGCAGTAAGTGTAAGAGGCAATGGAGGAAGATATATATGGAAAGTATATATGGACACCAGGATGTTACATCTATAACCCCAGATGGAGAAATGGCTTCATAAACAATATTTTATGCTGCCTATGGATACATATTTCTTTTTTTGGAGACTATACATGTTGGCATTCCTTGAATTAATATAATTTTTCTTCTCTGCATATATGAATCAATTCAAGTGCAAAACTAATATAATGATAAGTTATAATTATTACATTAGTGTAAACAGAATTTCAATTTTTGTATTGTTGAAATTTGCCATTTGATATTGGAATACATATTAAATAAGTGTGGTTATGTTATATATCATCTGAATGCACATTTCTTGCTTGATGTTCTTTTTGCCAATAACTTAGTACTTGCTGTTTATTTTATATTTATTTTAAACTATGGAAGGGATGGACAAAAAGCAAATTTGAGTGATTTTCTTATTGGAGTTCAAAATGCATTATAAAGCAGCAGAGACAACTTGCAACATCAACAATGCATTTGGCCCAGGAACTGCTAATGAATGTGCAGTGCAGTAGTGGTTTGAGACGTTTTGCAAAGGATATGAGAACCTTGAAGATGAGTGAAGTGGCCAGCCGTTGGATGTTGACAATGATCAGCTGAGAGCAGTATCAAGCTGATCTTCTTAAGACTACACAAGCAGTTGCTGAAGAACCCAACGTCAACCATTCTATGGTCATTCAGCATTTGAAGCAAATTGGAAAAGTGAAAAAGCTTAATAAGTGGGTGCCTCATAAGCTGACTGAAATCAAGAAAATTGTGTTTCGACGTGTTGTCTTCTCTTATTCTATGCAATAACAGTGATCATTTCTCGATTGGATTGTGACATGCAGTGAAAAGTGGATTGTATATGACAACCAGCATATACAAGTCAGTGGCTGGACTGATAAGAAGCTCCAAACTGCTTCCCATAGTCAAACTTAACACTAAAAAATGTCATGGTTACTGTTTGTGGTCTGCTGCTGGTCTGATCCATTACAGCTTTCTGAATCTGGGGGAAACCATTACATCTGAGAAATATGCTCAGCAAATTGATGAGATGCATTGAAAACTGCCGTGCCTACAGCCAGCATTGGTCAACAGAAAGGGCCTAATTCTTTTCCATGACCACACGTAGCACAACGACTGCTTCGAAAGTTGAAAGAATTGGGCCAGGAAGTTTTGCCTCATCCACAATATTCACCTAACCTCTCACCAACCAACTACCACTTCTTCAAGCATCTTGACAACTTTTTGCAGGGAAAATGCTTCCACAACCAGTAGGATGTAGAATATGCTTTTCAAGAGTTCACCGAAGCCTGAAGCACAGATTTTACACTACAGGAATACACAGACTTATTTCTCATCGGCAAAAAGTCTGTTGATTGTAATGGTTCCTATTTTGATGAATAAAGATGTGTCTGAGCCTACCTATACTGATTTAAAATTCAAGGTCCAAAACTGCAACTACTTTTGCATCAACTTAATACATTATACTTCATATTATGTACTACAGAATATAGTATACTTATTTTTAATAGAGTATATTGGAATATAATAATTATTTTAAGATTATTTTATATGTTTCTATAAACTAATTTTACTCCTTACTAATTATCTTGGCAAATATTACTATCCCCACTTTACAGACGAGGATTCTGAAACTCAAAGAAGTTGAATAACTCTTTTCAGTTCCTAAGTGGCAAAACTAGAAGAGTCCTCTGTGGTTGAACTTCAAAACCCTTCTCCTAGTCATTTTGCTGGTTTGTCTCACCAGTGCATTAGCATTTGAAGATCATTCCTATACAGATTAAAATGCCATTTACTCTTCTAAACACATTGTGCACTCACTTAAGCAGTTCCTATGCACCCCTTGCAGAAAAGGGTAGATTTTTTTACCCAAAAGTACAATGAACAATAATGCCAGAACACGTGTAAGGGGGAACAAGAGAAATTCAGAAACTTGAGAAAATCTTTCAAAATAAAACCACAGTATCTTTAATCAAGGCTTGGCAATCATCATATCATTTCTCTGAGACTGGTATTGGTAAATGTGGGCTATCCCACCAAGCCGTTAATGCTTGGTTAGAAATGTATCCAAGAAGTTGACTAACAAGGCAATTCATGCAGTACAAACAGGAATCTGTGATTCTTTCCCCCATTACCACAAAACATAGTTAGTTACTGCCCTGAATTTGCTTTGAAGCCAGTGAGAGAAATTGTTAAGAGCGCTGAAAATGGGACTGTAAGTAATAAATAGGGACCACCCCTCCAAAAAAAAAAAATGTTAACAAATTTTCTCTGAAGGTAAAATCTATTTTCAATTTACAGCAATTTTGAAGCTTGATCTGGAGGCATGCAATGAGTGAGGTGACTTGCAAGGTTTGCCTACTATGGAAGGAGGAGTTCTTTTCCATCTGTACAAAATTAAGCAGCTGATAATTATATCTCCTGGTATGAGGAGATTAAAATAATAAAATAAAAGCAAACCAAAAGCTTTAATTTGAAATCTAATCTCTCCCATTACCCCAGCACATTCACATCAAATCTGCTCCAACGGAATTCTTCCCACCCAGCAGGACAAAGATCATCTTCTCAGCAGCCAAACTCAGAAAGGCAAGCTACTTTCATTCCTTCCTGACTTTCCCCTTAGAACTCATTCAAAGGGAAGACAAAGGACTCGTGGGTGGATGGGAGTTGTTTTGTGCCTGGGCCTTAGGGGTACTTTATTTTTCTTAAAAAAGATTATCTCAACACTACTGTAGCCAAAAAAATAAAAAATAAAAACAAAACCCTAAAACAAATATCCGAGGCAGTTTAAATTAAAAATACAAAGGACTGAGATATATTTTTAATTTATTCATAATTAGTTTACAGATTGGACTGCACTGAGACTCCAAAAATCAGCAAGCTACTTGGGGATAAAGGCTATTGCAATTATCAGGAGCAAGCCAAATGCTACCTTTTGTTCTTACTAAAATCTTCTCCTTTAAAAAAAAAAAACTCCTAGCAAATGATTTTCTATTTCCTATTTAAAGAGGATTACATAGCAAACACCACTAGTGGCTGGAAAGCAAAGAACTTTCCATCGTTTTATTACCTGCCAAATACAAATTAGCTCATTGTGGTTAATTCCTGCCAGGAGACCCCTTTCCCGGCCGCCCATCAGGCCGATGGGGTATGGCAGGTTGGTTTCTGCCCGGAGTCCTTCTTAATCAGGAGGCTGTCAGATATGCTGCTTGCCCACTGTCTCCGACATCGTGTGGCAGCTCTGGTGTTCGGGCAGTGAGGTTTTGAGCTTGAATTGCCCCAATAACTAGCTCAGAATTGCTCCTACTTACGATCACTGTCAAATCTCAGTGGGCATTTGTAAGGCCTTCCTCCAGGTACAAATCAAGAAGCCCTACAAATTTCACTTTGTAATAACTACAGGATACAGAAATTGTATTAGTGCCATTAGATGGAGTCACAGAACTATTCAGAAAGGTTAGCTGGATGTAGAGAAGTCACAGTTAGACTAAGATAAAAAATCACTTTGTTAACTTAGAATGTTTCCTCATTGGTAACACTCTATATTAAGGTGCCATTTATAAACAGCTTATTATTATTTATTAATGTGTGAAGCACTTTATAGCATACTAGATAGCAACTTAAATTCATGTATTAAAGATGCACATACATGGTTTAATACGATTTACGTCTTATAATATTCTTTAAAACAGCTTCCCATAGTCTCATCCGTTAAGCATTTATTACTAATGCATTTTATAACATGCTTTATAATACATTATTTGAGCAAGTAGCTGCATTTAGTGATCATTTCATAAATAAGAATAAAGCATTTATAAATGGCACCTTAATTTAAAGTGTTACCTTCCCATTACTAGATAGCTGCTCACTATTCATCTCATTTTGTGATTATTCTCCAAATGCACCACTTAATAAAACAGACACTAAGTTCTATTTTCCCTTCATCTGATTAAAAGTTTATTGAGTCATTTCTTCCATCTGCTTTCAGATGTTGCTAGCTTGGAGGCTTTAGTGAGATTTCTGTTGAAACCAAACTTTCAATTCAACAATATTTCTATGAAGATGATAATAGTAAACACAGAGAACTACTCACCACCACGTTAGACAGCGCCTGCTGCTTGGACTCCTTGTAAAATTCAATTTTCCGACTAGAAAGAACAATCCAGGAAGTAGACCAGTTTTTCCTTAGTAGAGAAAAAAGCAAATAAAAAGCATTATTACTTGAAGAAATTAACACAAGTATTGCATAAGCAACATTTGGAATAAGTAGAGACTATCTCTTTTTTAACTAGAATTCCTAAAAATCTTTTCCTTTATTAAAATCTATAGGTGGTATGGAATATGTATAATAATAGAAAATTATGTAGTTTTTAGATCATGGCATTTACAATAAAAGTTTCATTTGTAGATCCTCCTCAAATCTTTTTCAGCTATTAAAAATCCAACTTCATGTATCCATGTCCCCCACTCCATAAAAAGCTGTTTCTGCAGCAAACAAAAAACAGAAAACTAAAAATAGAAATCAGAACATCGTCCATTGTTCAGTTCAGTACAGTTCAGTCACTCAGTCATGTCTGACTCTTTGCAACCCCACGGACTTCAGCACGGCAGGTTTCCCTGCCCATCACCAACTCCCAGATATTGCTCAAACTCATGTCCATTGAGTCACTGATGGCATTCAAACATCTCATCGTCTGTCATCCCCTTCTCCTCCTGCCTTCAATCTTTCCCAGCATCAAGGTTTTTTCCAATGAGTCAGTTCTCATCGGGTGGCCAAAGTATTAGAGTTTCAGCTTCAGCATTAGTTCTTCTAATCAGGACTGATTTCTTTTAGGATTGACTGGTTTGATCTCCTTGCAGTCCAAAGCACTCTCAAGATTCTTCTCCAACACCACAGTTCAAAAGCATCAATTCTTCGGTGCTCAGATTTCTTTATGGTCCAACTCTCACACTCATACAAGACTGCTGGAAAAACCATAGCTTTGACTATATGGGCCTTTGTCACTAAAGTAATGTCTCTGCTTTTTAATATGCTGTCTAGTTTGTCATAGCTTTCCTTCCAAGGAGCAAACATGTTTTAATTTCATGGCTGCAATCACCATCTGCAGTGATTTTGGAACCAAAGAAAATAACGTATGTCACTGTTTCCATTGTTTCCCCATTCATTTGCCACGAAGAGATGAGACTGGATGCCATGATCTTCATTTTTTGAATGTCGAGGGTTTTTTCTTTTTTTTCTTTTTATTGGAGGTTAATTACTTTACAATATTGTGGTGGTTTTTGCTGAATGTTGTTTTAAACCAGCTTTTTCATTCTCCTCTTTCACTTTCATCAAGAAGCTCTTTAGTTCCTCTTTGCTTTTGACCATAAAGGTGGTGTCATCTGCATATCTGAGATTGTTGATATTTCTCCAAGCAATCTTGATTCCAGCTTGTGCTTCATCTAGTCTGGCATTTTGCATGATGTAATCTGCATATAAGTTAAATAAGCAGGGTGACAATATACAGTCTTGATATACTCCTTTCCCAATTTGGAAATAGTCCATTGTTCCATGTCCACTTCTAGCTATTGCTTTTTAACATGCACACAGATTTCTCAGGAGGAAGGTAAGGTGGCCTGGTATTCCCATCTCTTGAAATATTTTCCCACAGTTTGTTTCAATCCACACAGTCAAAGGCTTTAGAGTAGTCAATGAAGCAGAAATAGATGTTTTTCTGGAATGCTCTTGCTTTTTTCTATGATACAATGGATGTTGGCAATTTAATCTCTGCTTCCTCTACCTTTTCTAAATCCGGCTTGACCATCTGGAAGTTCTCAGTTCACAAACTATTGAAGCCTGGCTTGGAGAATTTTGAGCATTACTTTGCTAGTGTGTGAGATGAGTGCAACTGTGCAGTAGTTTGAACACTCTTTGGCGTTGAAATGAAAACTGACCTTTTTCAGTCCTGTGGCCCCTGCTGAGTTTTCCATATTTGCTGGCATACTGAGTATAGCACTTTTACAGCATCATCTTTTAGGATTTGAAATAGCTCATCTGGAATTTCATTACTTTCACTAGCTCTGTTCGTTGTGATGCTTCCTAAGGCCCACTTGACTTTGCACTCCAGGTGCACTTTGCATGTCCAGGATGCACTCCTTCATTGTTACATCTCTTCATTGGTTTAGTATACATCGGAGTCTTGAAAACTAACCAGCTAATTTCTCACTGTCTAGTTCACAATATTTTTCAACGTTGAAACTCAACAGAAAGCAAAGATGAAAATAAAAGGAGTCAAAAAATTTTTTTTTCCTTTTTGCCAATCAAACTGGCTAGAATTATAAGGAATGATACCAAGGGCTACTTACTGAGAGTGTGGAGAAATGGATTCTCCCATACAATTTTGGTGGGAGTGCAAACATCTTTTCAGGAGTGAATTTGGCAAAATGTTATTTAAAAATATTTTTAAATGTGTGTATCTTTCAATTGAAAAGCTTATTACTATGACTTTAAACTGATCCTACAGATCATCTCATAAATTAAGGCTCTCTGCACAAGAATGACATGCACCATTTCTTAAGTCTGCATGTAAAATATCAAAAAAAGAGAGACAGGTTATGCAAATTGCATATTATAGATTCATATAAGGAACTAATTAACCCTATTCTGTAGAAGAATCCTGATAAGAGAAGTTTTCAATGTTGACCATAATATAAGATATAGTTCAAAATACCATACTGCACTATTTACCTATGACTGTCCTCACCCATCCCAGCCCCTTCTGATTATTAATTCCCATTCATCAGAAGTTCAAACATTAAGTTTTTAAATATGTCGTCCGTGACTTCCTCACACAGCACTTAAGATATATTGAGAATAATATTTTGTAAATTTCACTTGTGTCTTTCCCCCATTAAATAAAAATCCCCAAACCAACAGAAAATACTTCATATTTATAAAGATACCCTCACCTCAGTGACAAGCAATAGTGAATTGGACAGAGAAGGCGATAAATATATATTTGTTGAGTTAATGATTAAATTTAGGCATGGGGGTATAAAGAAACATTGGATAAACAATAGTTGAACCAGAAAGTGAAACCCCAACTTTGATTGCCCTTTGCATTGCATTGTTACTTAAGTAACTAATAAGTTTGTGTCATGAAGAATACCCTTAGTTTAGAAGGTAAAACATTAAGGAGATTAATATACATTAAGTTTCTATCTATTACATCATGTTGCTGATGTTTGCTTTGGTTTAACACTCATTTTTGAATAGCTGAATTCATTTTACAAAAGTGATTTTTTAAAAAAAAGTTATTAAAAGACTATTCTGGGCAACATAAAATACACAAAAATATGTTTAAATATGTTTTAAATGACCATTTAAGATCTTTGTATAATTTAGTTCCACTTCCCTCATAGACTCTAGAGGTTTGATTGAAAGAACAGTTTTGATTCAGTAAAGTTAATATTTACAAGATTAGATGGCTCTTATATGCCTGAAGATTTCCTACTTATACACCATTGTATTAAAAAGGAAAAAAAAAGGAAAAACAGAAATAAAACACACATAGTGTGTATTTTTCAACATGCAAATACGAACTCTATGTTGTTGGACCCACTTGTCTTCAAATAGTCACTTTTTCAATCAAATGACAATAAAGATGGGGGGGGGTGGATAAAAACACATAGACCTTTTTCTTCCTTTGCCTTAGTTCCCATTTCTCCTTTTAGGTACCACCAGCAGCGAGATGAATCGAAGCACCTGTAGCCTTCTTCTGACAGAGGTCATAATATTAGACGACCCAAGATAGAGCAAGCATTGGCAGGACTGCTGATCTAGACTGGGCATCTTTGTTATCTCCACCACTTACTTTGACCATATGTAACCAGCAAGAATGGAATATCCTCAGACATGACAGAATCTTTATTTAACCTGCCTGTTATATTTCCTACTATATTTTTAATCTGCTGGCAGGAGATAGTCTATACCTTATTTGCTTCCTATCTATAGCAAGTCCTGGATAAACGGTTCTGATTTGATCTGTTTCAGATGTTGATCGTTTATAGAATGTGTTGGCATTTTTTCCTTCCTTAAACTTGGAACTGGAATTGGTTAGAAATGAAGTTGCATGAAATTCGATTATCTCATGGTTCTCAGAACTTTGAGCTGCTGTAAAGAGTTCTCTCTTAGGTGAATCTGATTAACAGGCTGAAGAGGGTAAGAATTGTATGTATTGTTACTTTGGTAATATAAATTGCTCTGGCACTTTACATATAGTGCAATTTCTTTTTGAACTTATAAACTACAAATAATATCTATGAAAACAAGGGACTTTTCCAATTTATTTAAAACAATATCATTTCAAAAGGAAGAATAGAATGCTGGTTTTCAACATTTCAGATGCCCCAATTTCAATTCAGTTTTTCATGATCTCTTTTAAAATAAGAATTAACATAAATTATTTTAAGTAGTATAAATTTGATTGTCTAGTGGAGATTTAGCTTCTCAAAAAGATGATGAAGATGTTATCTCCACTTACTAGTATAGAAAATAAGATTCAGAGTGTTTAGGTAACTTACTTAAGGCCACACATTTAGAGACAAACCCAGTTTCTCTGATTCTGAAGCCTATAATCTCTTTACTAATTTATATTGTGTTTTTTAGAGTAAGGAGTATAGGCATGCTTCATTTTATTGTGCTTAGCAGATATCGCATTTTTTACAGAATGAAGTTTCATGGCAGCCTTGCTTCAAGTAAGACAAAAGTCCAATAACATTTGTTCACTTCATGACTCAGTCACATATTGGCAATTCTCACAATATTTCAAACTTTTGCATTATTGTGTTTGCTATGATGATCTGTAATCAGTGATCTTGATGTCATTATTGTAACTGTTTTTGGGTGCCATGAACTATGCCCATATAAGACAGCCTACTTAATCATGGGTTGTGTGTGTCCTGAATGCTCTACCAACTAGTCTTTCCCCAACTTTCTCCCTCTCCTCAGGCCTCCCTATGCCCTGAGACATGTCAATATTGAAATTAGGCCAATGAGTTAACTCTATAATGGCCTCAAAGTATTCAAGTGAATGGAAGAGTCACATCTCTCTCACTTTAAATCAGAAGCTAGTCATGATTAAGTTTACTGAGGCAGGCAAGTCATCAACTGAGACAGGCTGAGTACTATGCCTCTTGTGCCAAA